AGAATGAAATGTTGCCCAGTCTTGCACCCTCCTCATAGTTGTTATTATATTTGAGTTGTTATGGGCTCAAACATAATACGTACATACATATATATATATATACACACACACACACACACACACATGCATATATATATATATAAAAAACCAAAAACCCACTTCCACTGAGTCAATTCCGGCTCAACCCTATAGTGCAGAGTATGCAAACACAATGCACTGCTGTCAAGTCAGATCTGACTCATAGCGACCCCTCCCTGGGTTTCTGAGGCGGTATCACTACGGAAGTAGATTGCTCAACTTTCCTTCTGAGGAGTGGCTGGTGGGTTTGAACTGCCGGCCTTCTGGTTAGCAGTCAAATGCCTTAAGCACTAAGACACCAGAGCTCCTATAGTGCAGAGTAGAACTGCCCAACAGGGTTTCCAAAAGGCTGTCATCTTTATGGAAGCAGACTACCTCATCTTTCTCTCAGGGAGTGGCTGGTGGGTTCAAACTGCCAACATTTAGGTTAGCAGCCCAATGTTTTAAGCACTGTGCCACCATAGCTCCTGATATGTATGTGTGTACACACACACACACACACACACACTCATGCTTTGGGTAAGCTGAGGCAGGTTTGCTGTATCACTGCAGTTAGTGCTGTACTCTGCCCTCAGTGATGGCATATTATATAAAGTTGTTATATATATTTTACCTAAGAATATGTTCTGGTTTAAAATACACATTAAAAAAATCCAGCTTATAAAGTTATGTAGTTGGAAAAGAGGAATATTTTAACAGCCTTTTCAGATAACTGTTGATCTTCTTTTGACATTGCACCAAAATGTGACTAGTAGTTTGTTAAAGTTGCAATGTGGAATCTGAAACTGTATCAACAAACTTTTTGTACTCTGTTATATAAAAGTCCACCACTCTGTCTACCACTTTGAATGGATCTTTTATCCATGCCTGATTTTGCAACATGATGGCAATTTTGCAACATGATAGTCATTTGGAAAATAATAGTTCACTGAGTTATGCTGATTTTCCAGATGCTGACACATTTTACTCACATAATATTAAAAAAGGTCACATTTGTTAACATTACCACTGATCTCATCAGGACAGTTTAAGCATTGTCAAGCTCATGGTGGTGGACCCAAGTTTTCCAAAATTTCATTTTTGGCTTAAAATTTTATTTTTTTCTCATTGGCAACAAATACTGTCGGTTGTTTTCCTTGAAGTGATAGCTTCACTTCTTCCTTTTCAAGAATATATCTGTCATATACCCAGGTTTGAATGATCTTTCAAGTGAAAATTATGTTCCATGAAAGAGACAGCTAGTTCAGCTCGTTACACAAACAATGACTAAGTACTTAATGTGTGCTTCCATTCTGTCACCCAGTATACTAAAAAGACATGGACTCAAGGGTTGAGGTTTAATGAAGTTAATTTTGCTTCATCAAGGATATTCTTAGGTAAAATTGAATTTTTTTTTTTTTTTTTAACACTGCTAATACATGGCTGTGAAGAATACAATGCTTCCTGGGTACAGTTTGGTACCACTGTACAAGGCACCAGAAGCCACTTGTCCCCCAATCCCTTCATTGGTTCTGCATCATCAGTGCAAATGTCAACACAGTGAAATAGTCAAATAACACCATAGTATTATTTTGAAATAGTTTTGACCTTGTATAGCCCCTGAAAAGATCTCAGTGACCTTCAGAGGTCCATAGGCCACAGTTTGAGAGCCACTGGATTAAAGCATTCTTTGAATTAATAAGAAAAGGGTTTACTAAACAATAAAGACAAGTTCAAGGGGGATTATTAAATTACTTAAGATATATTGTTTTCAATGATCATTACTAAAGAAGCACTATGTTGATTACAAAATCATTAACATCATCATCTGACTCAGGGATCCTATAGGACAGAGTAGATCTGCCCCACAGGGTTTCCAAGGATGTAAATCTTTAAGGAAGCAGATTGCCTTATCTTCCCTCCCACAGAGCAGCTAGTAGGTTTGAACTGCCAACCTTTTGGTCGTTATTGTTTTTTTTATGTGCCTTTGAGTCGGACCCAACTCATAACAACCCCTCCTTGGGTTTCCGAGGCGGTATCACTACAGAAGTATATTGCCCAACCTTCCTTCCGAGGAGCGGCTGGTGGGTTTGAACCTCCAGCCTTCTGGTTAGCAGTCAAGTGCCTTAGGCAATAAGCTACCAGAGCTCCTAGCAGCTGAATACTTTAATCACTATGCCACCAGAGCAGCTGAAATTGATTTGATGGCAGTGGGGATTAAAGCAAGTCTCTAAACAATCCCTAAAAGGTATTAGTTATTCCATAGCATTCTCATATGATATAGGTATTCTTCTTTTTCTTTTTTAAATTTTTATTGTGATTTGGGTGAAAGTTTACAGAGCAAATTCATCTTCCATACAGCAGTTCACATACACTTTGTCTCATGACATTGACTGCAGTCTCCCTCAACATAACGGCTCTCCTCCCACTTCCTCCCCATAGCCACCCCTTCCCTGTGTCCTCCCTATAGGTATACTTCTAACTTTTTAATTAAATAATAAGCAGCTAATGCATGCAATGGCACAAATTTCAAACAGTATAAAGGGGTGAAAAATGAAGTCTGTCTCCCACTCTGTACTTCAGCCATTTTTGTCCCCAAAGCAACCATTATTATCAGTTAATTTTTCTTTTTTTTTTTTTGGGGGGGGTATATTTCCAGAGATATTTTATGCATCTTTGGTGGTGTGGTGGGTAAGGCACTTGACTGCTAACTGGAAAGTCAGCAGTTCAAACCCATCAGCTGCTCTGCAGAAGGCTGACTGGGTGATCTTCTTTACTTCTGTAAAGATTTACATCCTCGGAAAGCCAATGGGGGTTGCTAAGAGTTGGAAATGACTCAATGGCAGTCAGTTTTTTGTTTTTTTTTCTAATGCACACATATGCCCTGCCACCACCACTTTTTTAAAGATCACAAATGTATGGCAGTAGTGTATAGACATTTGTGAAACTTGCTTTTTTGGTAAAGCTTAATGTGTCTTTATTTCTTACTCTGCTGGATAAATTCCTAGAAATGGGATTGCTAAGCAAAAGGTATGGCCCCAAGTAAATATTTACTTCAAATAAGATTTCGAATAAAGATGCGGCTGCCTAATACATACAAACTAGTGGTGATTCTTTTCTATAAGTGTCATTTATACCATGATTTGCTACCTTTTTCTTTTATTTTTTAATGCCATAACTATGAAACTACTTTCACAACTAATTTCCCCATGTTTTTAAGTTGAGCAAAATACCTTTATTCTGGGCACTGAGGGGGCAAACCAGCACTCCTGACCCCCTGGTGGCCTGATTTATACTTTCATAACTACTCTTATCCATGTGGCCTCTTACCGCTTAGATCTCTGAATCATTTCCTTCTTTCCAATAGCTCTGTTCTTCTGGGCAGCTAGGAAGCCTAGGCAAGAATGGAAGGGACTGTAAGTGGACAGTAACTTATTAGGGAAGGGTTTTGTGCTGCAAGAGCTGTGCAGGGAGTTGCTAGGACACTGTGCCTCGACCTGGAGCTGGAGTGGTGGGTGGTGAGCCAATGGCCGTGGCCAGGGACAGACTATGGTGATTGCCAGCAGCCTAAGGCCCCTGAAGACACAGTATTCTGTGGAACAGACCAGATTGAACTGAAAAAACCAATTAGTTTAAAGGTAATGTTGCAATGTAAGCAGTAGGTAGTATTTATAGTTTTCATACATTATTTTATTGAAATCCTATACAGAGTGTAATTGTTAAGAGCATAGACTTGGAAGCCAGCCAATCTGGTCCATATCTCAGATCCTTTACTTATTAGGTACGTGATCTTAGGGAAGATGCTTAATCGCCCTGTTTCAGTTTTCTCATCTATAAATTAGGGACATTAACAGTACCTACCATGGATAGGTACTGTGGTCATGAAATGAGAACACTGTCTGGAAAAGATGTAAGAACTACACAAATGGTTGCTATCATTATCATTACTTATGCCACCTGGTGAGGAAGGTAAGCTTGGAACTGTCCCTTCTTTAAAGAAAAAAAATTGTAATTTAGGAACCAACTTACTTATAGCCATAGAGGTGGTCTATCAAAAAGGCCTTCTCACTGCATACTCCTGTTTGTAGGATGTAGTGATAGGGCTTTTCTGTGATCTCAAAAGTGCTCAATGTTAAGTGAGGCAGGCTCCCCTAAGGAGATTTGAATCTCCGCAAGCAAAAAGTCACTTTTTGTCCACTTAAAGTAGCAGAGCTCCACAGCACAGAAGCAGATCTTGCCTCTAATCCAGCTGAAGGCAAGTGAGCAGTTACCTTGCCTAGGCAGTGGGCACGTGTGATCCTGGCAGCGCTGCCCATCTCTCCCGGTGTCGAACAGCGCGTCCCGCTCACTCTGCAACATGTTCTGCAGCTTCCTCTCCTGGACTATCAACCTCAGGCGCTTTATCCGCTCCCCAGAGCGAGAGATGAAGTCAGGTCTGTGAAGGTGAAGCGATTCCTAAGGAGGAGAAAAGCCCCCGCCTTCACATTAATGCTCTCTAAGTGCCTAAGAAAACAGCACCATCCCAACAGGTTGGATAGCCTTCTTCTGAAATATCCACAGCTGAAGAATAGGCTAATAATTCTCTGTGGGGGAGTGCTTCAGCACAGAAATCAAAGGGATCAAAGATATGCCTTTGGAATAAGCCAAGAACTAAGACTGCAGCAATTAACTCTCCCAAATGTGGCTGGGAGAGCTCAGCCCACTGTGCTATTTTTAATTTCCTTTCAACAAATAACTTAAATAACATTTTCTTTAGGCCTCAAGAGGTTTATAAATACAGGACTCGGTCCCCTTTTTAAGAAAATAGTATTTTATTGTGTTTAAGACAAAAGTTTACATAGAAAATCAGGTTCCCATTTAACAATTCATATACAAATTATTCAGAGATATTGATTACATTTTTCATGATGTGTCATCGTTCTCATTCATTTGTCCTGGTTGTAGCATTTCCAGTATACTTCCTGCACCCTTACCTTTTCATCTGCTTTACAGTAATTTCTGACCATTTGCTTTCATATAGATGATTTTTAAAAGTATAGCTCATTACTCATGGGTGATTGTCTTTATTTCATTTGTTGTTGTTGTTACGTGCCGTGGAGTCGGACCCGACTCATAGCGACCCCTCCTTGGGTTTCCGAGGCGGTATCTCTACGGAAATAGATTGCCCCATCTTCCTTCCGAGGAGTTGCTGGTGGGTTTGAACTGCCAGCCCTCTGGTTAGCAGTCCAGTGCCTTAGGCACTATGCTACCAGAGCTCCCATTAGTCCATTTGTTATTTAGCTAACATGATCTCAAGGGATAATTCTGGTTAAAGTTTAAAGAATATCTTGGGGTTATAGTGTCAGGGAGTTCTTTTGTCTCAACCAGTCAAGTAAGTCTGGACTTTTTAAGAATTTGGGTTCTGTTCTACATTTTTCTCCCATTCTATCAGGATCTATCCATTATGGCCCTGATCAGAATGGCTGCTAGTGGTAGCCTGGCACCAGTTAGTTCTGGTCTCGGGGTAGAGAAGGCCATAGTTTATGTAGATTATTAGTTCTGTAGACTACTTTCTTCTGAGTCTTTTGTTTTTTCTCTTTTGTCCAGATGAGCAGAGACCAACAGTTGTATCTTAGGTGGCTGCTCACTTTTAAGATCTAGATACTACACTGGGATATAGAACTTTATGAACTATATTATGCCAATTAACTGAGTTGTTCCATGAGACTATGGTCCTAAACCATCTTGTGAGGTGTTTGGTTATGTCTAAGATATATCTGTAGCTGTGATAATTACCTTTTAAACCCAGTTTTTAAGCAGGAATAGGAGTTATGTAAATGGAGGAGCAAACACAAGGCTAACACAAACAAGGCCTCCAGGGCATTCCCCAGGAGGGTGTCTATGGATTTGATAAGCCATGTCACAAAACCCTCCTCTCGATTGCCTTGTCCCCAGTACTGGAGCTGATGTACTATTTAGAATGGTTAATAGTAAGGCAGTCTTGATTAATGATGAGAAATTAAGCTCCTACATGGTGAAAACAGATGAACTCTGGCGGCTAGAAATGAGGGTCACATGACTGTCCTTTAGAATGCCAAGTCACAGATTTAACTTCTTTGCATCTTGCCCTTTTCCTCCCCTTAAACATATGGCTAAAATGAAATGATCACTGTACCTGTAGGGTTGCTCTCACAAATGGCCTCAGTGGGTGCATGCATTCCCCTCTGCATGGGTCTGCTAGGCACACCTGACAGTCCATTTGCTGTCCTTGCCAGTTTTTTTCCCTCAGTGGCTCTCTCCAGGGTTTGGTGTTTGTTATTGGCTCAAACCAAGAGATACCAGGGCCATAAGATTTGGGGAAATTTTCCTTCTTAGGTCCAGACTTCAAATTTTCAATGGGAATAAACCATGACATTCCTATAGGAAAGATGTTTAAGAAAGAAAGAAAGAAAAAAAGATTTTTTATTTGTTATAGTCCACAGAGCTCTCATCAGAGGCATGTACCATAGTACAGGCTCTTATGGGAGTCAGCAGTCAGAGGTCACCAGGATGCCCTTGAGTCTGGCTTAACTGCAGGTCTGAGTCTATAATTGTTACTCCTGGACACTTTGAGAATTTGCCAAGGTGGTGGCTGTGGTAGGTGTCCACACAGAGTCACTTAGAAACAAAGACTCTTTGGATATTAAAAAAACAAAAAACAAAACAAAAAAAAACCCACAAAAAAACCCTTGAAATTCACTTGTTTTTCTGTGACAAAACCTGGAATTAGAAACTGACCTTCACAGAGATTTGGCTTGCTCTTCCTTAACTTTTTGTCCAAGGGGTAAGTGGCAAGGAACCTTTTCTCTTCATTTTTTCCTTCTGACAGAGAAGAACTCGCATCACTGTCCTCTTCTAATCTAGTCTCGCTGGAACTTGGAGTTGGGAAAGTCATCCCAACATCTCGGGTGTGTTTTCTGACACCACTGACAATCTCCAAGTTACCTGAGGGAAAGATCACAGAAGTTTCCTTAAGGCTTAGCTGGCAGGTTCATTACAGTCAGTAACTGAAACCATTTTAATGCTTCAAAAACATAGGCTACTGCCTGTGTGTGTGTTCTGGGAGTGGGAGAGAGGAAGGAAAAGAGGGAGAGAGGGAGAGAGAGCAGGAAGGGAAGGAAGGGAACAGTATATTCGTGATGGTCAATTCTGGCCGCATCTTACAATCACATAGAGAGCTTTTGAAAAATACTGATGTCCAGCCCCTACCTGTATAGATTTTGATTCTGCTAGTTTGGGGTGTGGTTCAGGCATTTAAGAACTCAGATGATTCTCATGTGTAGCCAAGGCAGTGAACCACTAGTCTGATAATCAGAGAGTGACCTATGAATTATATTTTTCCCAATATAAGAGTAGTTGTTCTGAGATTTCCAGGCTATCAGATCAATCAGTATAGGAATACAAATGGAACAATGTTTTTTTTTTTCCAAAGCAAAACAGTAAATAATTTACATTTTGACTCAAAGAGGGAAACAACCCTTAGGTGGTTTTCTTGGTAAATAAAAAAGTATTTTGCAGTGGTCAGTAACAAATGGCATTTTGGTAAATTGCCAGTTCTCTCTTCTAAGACCTAGGAGACTCACATACAAACTGGAAATGAATGAACTAGGAGGATAAATCTAAGTGCTTCCTGGTCTCATTTCAGTTCAAAATCCCTAACACCCGAGAAAGTAAAAACCAGCTTGGACTGTAAAAATCACCCTATACATGCTGGGAGGAAAGCATGGATAAAACCAACTACAAAGTTAACCAAACCAAAAACCAAACTAACTGCCACCAAGTTGATTCCGACTCTTAGTGACTCTCTTTGGGTTTAAATCTTTAAAATCTTGGTGGTAAATCTTTATAGAAGTAGATTGTTCAGTCTTCCTTCTGCAGAGTGGTTGGTGGGTTTGAACCACCAACCTTCTGGTTAGCAGTCGATCCCTTAGGCACTACACCACTAGAGCTCCTTACAAAGTTAACAGGAAACAGTATTTCTCGCAAGGCATGCTGTAAGTGTAAAGTGTCTTAACAACCCCCTTCTTTAACTACTGTTTCCATACCCACTGAGAAATACTGTTCTCTAAAACACACTATCAAAATCTTTGCTATTTGATATTATACCAATAAAAACAAAGCATCCTACTCTATTGAGGACCTAAACCATTTTAATGCAGAGAAGTAGCCTCTGTTTACAACCCTAGTTCAGAACTCAGATAAGGGGCTTCTAATGCAACATTCCACACCTATCTTAATTTTACTGATTCCCAAAAAACATGACCATGGGCCTACTACGCAGCTTGGACCTGATGTTGATCCTGCTTTCCACTGAGCCCACCAAAGCACGGCTTCATTTAATTTAATTTTCACCCCAACTCTACCCTTTTCTAAGATCCTTTACTATTTTTTCCTTTGTTTGGTAAGATGCCCCATAGTTCTTCTGGTGTGTGGTCTCCCTTATTGCAATGAATCAATAAACCTGACTTTTGGTACAGTGGCTAAAGCACTCAGCTGCTAGCCAAAAGCCTGGCAGTTTGAATCCAACAGCTACTCTGCAGGAGAAAGATGTGACAGTCTGCTTCCATAAATATTTATAGCTTTGGAAACTATGGGACAGTTCTACCCTGTCTTAGAGAGTCACTATGAGTCAGAATTGACTCAACGACAGTGGGTTTGGTCTCTGTAAGGTTATAGGTTTGTCCCGGTGTTTTTAGGCTTGTTGGGCTAGGATACACCTTTTATCAGTATCATGTGTCCAGTAGCATGCCTCTAACATCTTCCAAAACTGTGGCTGGCAACCACACAAAAGGTACTCAGCAAAGTAGATGAGGTGACGAGGAAGTGGACCACAGCACAGTTTTTATTTCTAAGACAGCTTAGATATTAGAGGGAAAGAACTAATAGGTATTCAATGGGAAGAGAGATAAAAGTTTGCACCCTAAGTGAGACAGGTAATAATACTCATGGTCCTACTGGCAGTCACCCAGGTAAAGGTAAGGTCGACAGAGGCAAAGAGAAGACTTAAGGGAGGAAAAAAAAAAAAAAACAAGGGAGAAGTTTACCTATTTATTTTTGTTTTATAGTACCAAAAAGTATAGAAAGGCATAAAGTGAAATGTCTCCTTCCCAACTTCGTTCTCCATTCACTCAGTTCACAACTCTATTTTTTTTTCACATACTCAAGCAATTTCTCTTCCTGCTTCTTCTTCTTCTTCTTTTTTTTTTTTTAAATACATGTAGTAATATGCCATACACGTTTTGTCCCTCTCTTATTCTTTATTATTCATCTTGGGGATCTTTCCATATTAGTAGAGAGAGACAGCATTCATGCTGCTATGTAGGAATTCCTTATATGGTTGGTTGTAATTTATTTAACTAGTCAGCTACTGTGGTAGCATAGTGCCTAAGGCATTTGACTGCTAACCAGAAGGCTGGCAGTTCAAACCCACCAGCCACTCCTCGGAAGGAAGGTTGGGCAATCTACTTCCGTAGTGATACCACCTTCGAAACCCAAGGAGAGGTTGCTGTGAGTCGGGTCCGACTCGACAGCACGTAACAACCACCACCACCTGACCTGTCAGCCACTGACAGGCATCTAAATTGATTTCAGCCTTCTGCTATGACAAATAGTACTTCAGTGGTTAACTCTGCAGATACTTATCATTTTATACATCTGTAGGTTCAATTCCACATATGCACAGTATATCTGTAATTAGAAAAGCAAAACTGCTGGGTTAAAGTAATTGAGAGATATTGCCAAACTGAAGGGTTGTATCGATTATTCATGAGTGTATAAAAATGCATGAGGGTCCCATTTCCCTATACTCTGGCCCACATACTTGCTATGAAACTTGGATTTTTGCAAATCTGATAGGTAAAAATGGCATTTGGGTATAGTTTTAACTTTCATTTCCTTTATCATGAGTTCTCACTCATTGAGTATCTTCTCATATGTTTAAGAACTTTATCAGTGGGAGAGTTTAAATTCAAGTAACTTACCCGCTTGGACACCCTTGTTTAACATCTGTACATTCTGCTTGCTGCAAAGGGTAGGGCTCGAGCTCCAGAAACTACTAGCAGAAGATGAAACAGAGTCAGAAGAAATCATATGTTTTCCCACCTTGAAAAACAAAAGAAATCCTGTTATCTTTACCTGCAAGCAACAGCACAGAATAAGAAAACCTGCAAGTCTTCACGAGCTCTTTCTAATCCAACTCAAATTGCTGAAATGAAGTTGTGAGGAAGCTTGCGACAATGTGAGCATGTTCAGCTGTGGTAGGGAGGAGTCTGCTGTTGTAACTGGTTAAAGGACTGAGCTTGTGGAAGATGATGAAACAAAACAGGGGGTATGCTTCCAGGGCCTAAAAAAACTCCGAAGAGGGTGCTAGCCAAGGATTAGCTAGGCAGGTCCTCAGAGTGAAATTCTGACTTAATACCTGCATATAATTTTGATGAGCAATGAAGTGGGCTGGGGAAAGTAAAAAGAAACCAATGAGCTGAAGAATGTGCTTTCTGATACAATCAGACTCAGATACTTATATAAAAGCAAACAACAAAGGGATGAAGACCCCATGAGAAGTCCTGAATGAGTGCAGTACTGCAAAATAAAATAATCAAAGAGCCCAAAAGGCCTTGTTAGCTATCTTCAAAGCAAGTAGAGTAATGACGGGCAAGTCCACAGATTGACAGTGGAATGTTGGTGGATTAGAAAATGATGATTTGAATATAGAACAAAGAAAGTTTGACCATAGAAATTTCCCTAGAGTGCCTACCCAAGACCATTAATTTGAATCTCTAAGGAGGGGCCTGGGAATCTATATTGTGAATAAATGCCAGGTGATTTTCTATTTAAGCAAGTTTGGTAGAGGTGAGTTGAAGCCCAAGTCAGGTGAGGAAACAGCGTATGTGCTCCCCGTAACTGTTGCTGTTAGCTGCCGAGTCAGCTCCATGCAGTGGAACAATACGCTGCTGTCAGTGTCGAGCGATCCCCAAGATAGGCTGCAGATCTGACCATTGTGATGCACAGGGTTTTCCTTGTTGACTTCTGGAATTCGCTCACGAGGCCTTTCTTCTTAGCCTGTCTTAGTCTGAAGTCTGTACAGCATCATAATAACATGCAAGGCTCTACTGACAGACGGGAGGTGGCTTACTGTGTGTGAGATGCATTGGCGAGGAACTGAATTCAGTCTCTTGCATGGAACTATATTCCAGGGTCCTCAAGAAAAGCTAACAGAATCTTGGGAAAGAGAAGCTATGTTAGAGACAAGAAATGTTCTGAATTCCTGAACGGTAGATAAGGTAAATACTGCAAACTGGTGGGTTTAATGCTGATGGCCTGTAAAATTCCAGAATGGATCACCAATCTGGTAATTTGCAAGCTTTTGGAGGTCAAAGAAAAGATTAGCACACTTTAGCCAGGGCTTAGTAAGGTGGGACAAGAATGTGAAGTAGAGTACATCTGGAGTTGAACAAAATGACAGAGTTTCTCATGGCATCTTTGAGGCTGAGACCGAGTTACATGGGTTGAATGATAATGGGAGTTGGCAGAACTCTAACTAGTTGAGCCAACCTTACATGAATGTTTTTGTCTACACAGATGGGGGCTTCTACTGATTGGTATATCTTGCATTCCCCAACAAATATTTACAAAGCACCTACTGTGTGCCAGGTACTGGGTTTGCATTTGGCTAGTCCTGCTTAACATTCTACATCAATGTCTTAGAGATATGTAAGGCAGGGGAATTTACATACAATGCACATCTGTTGTTGTTGTTGTTGTTATATGCCATCGAGTCGGCCCCAACTCATAGCGACCCCTTCCTGGGTTTCCGAGGCAGTATCACTACAGAAGTACGATTGCCCAACCTTCCTTCCGAGGAGTGGCTGGTGGGTTTGAACCTCCAGCCATCTGGTTAGCACTCAAGTGCCTTAGGCACTATGCTACCAAATGCACATCTAGAAGGGCCTAAATGGCTGTCAGGAATCCAGATAATAACAGGAATAACAGGCCAAATCAAACAAGAGGACGGCTTATAGGGACAATAACAGAGCCTTGTGCATCAGGCAGGTGGAATGGCAGCAACTCTGATGTAGTAGAAAAAGTTCTGGGTCGCAGTCTCAGTTTGCAGACCCAGGTTTGGTTCCTTTTGTAGCTGTCTCTTCTTGAGCTGCCGCAACTTTCTGTGCAATTTTAACAACATAACTGCATTTTTTAAATTACAGAAGTGTTAAATCATTTAGACTGTAAACTGTAAAAAAATTAACATAAACTTTGTTGGTTACCAGGGTGTGAGGGGAGGGGAGGAACTGAAAAACTAAAAATTTTTAAAAGAAATTACTATAAAACTATTATACTATTATGATGTTAACTAAAGCATATAAGGAGCTCTGGCGGCATAGTGGATAGGGTACTTAGCTGCTAACCAGAAGGTCGGTGGTTCAAACCCACCAGCCGCTCTGTGGAAGGAAGATGGGGTGACCTACTTCTGTAAAGATTTACAGCCTTGGAAACCCAATGGGGGTTGCTATGCATAGTCAGAATTGACTTGACGGCTGTGCGTTTGGTTTTATACAAGAACAGAAAGGGGGCAGTGGGGAAGATGTGACTAAATGGTAAGGCATACACAAAAAGGGCTCACTACAGCTTCCAGTTTCTCTTGAGCCACAGACAGGGAGAGAGCACTCTGGGTACTGAAAAGGAATGACTTTCAAGAGAGATTATTAAGTTCAAAAGCAAAGTATGCTACCATTTTGTGAATAACATATGTAGGCATTTAAAAAAAATAAAAACATAAAATATCTCTGAAATAAAACAATCTAGATTGGAAAGGAAGAAGTAAAATAGTTTTTATTTGCAATGACATGTTCCAGTCTGAAGAAAATACTAAGGAATCCACAAAACAGTACCAGAGTCAAACAAGCTCAGCAAGCTCAAGGGACAAAAGATCAATACACAAAAATCAATTGTATTCCTATCTTCTAAGCAATGAGCAATCTGAAAATGAGATTTAGGAAACAATCCCATCCACAACAGCATAAAAAAGATTAAAGTCCTTAGTAATACATTTCACAACAGAAGTGCAAGGCTTATACACTGAAAACTACAAATCATTTTTGGGAGAAATTAAGGATATAAACAGAGAGAGAGAACATATACACAGATTGGAAGACTCAATATTGTCGAGATGTTCTCCCCAGATTAGCCTACAGACTCCATGCAATCCCATCAAAATCCAAGTAGCCTTTTTTTGAATAAATTTACATGGAAATCCAAAGGATCTAGAATAGCCATAAATTACTGAAAAAGATGAGTAAAGATGGAAGGCATTTTTCCAATTTCAAAACTGACTATAAAGCTATAGCAATCAAGACAGTGTGATAGTGGCATCAGGCTACATACACAGATCAATAGAACAGAATTAAGAGGCCAGAAGTAAATCTTTACATTTATGGTCAAATGATTTTTAACAAAGGTGCCAAGGCCATACAACAGGGGAACCCAAAACCAAACCCATTGCCAATGAGTCAATTCTGACTAGAATTGCCCCACAGGGCTCCCAAGGCTGTATATCTTCATGGAAGCAGACTGTCTTATCTTTTACCCATGGAGTGGCTATTGGGTTCAAACTGCTGATCTCTGGGTTAGCAGCTAAATGCTTTAACCACCAGAGAGCCTTCAACAGGGGAAAGGAGAGTCTTTTTAACAAATGATGCTGGGACAAATGGATGTCTACGTGCAAAAAGATGAATTTAGACATCACAACGTACACAAAAATTTACTTTAAATGGATCATAAACCTAAATACAAGACCTAAAACTATAAAACATTTAGAAGAAAACATAGGAGAAAATATTTGTGACCTTGGTTAGGCAAAGAATTCTTGGATATGACACCAAAAGCATGATACATAAAAAGCCATCTTCATCAAAACTAAAAACTTTTACATTTCAAAAGACACTATTCATAGAAAATGAGAAGCTGCAGATTGGGAGAAAACATTTGCAAATCATATATATAATAAATGAACTAAATCCAGAAAATACAAAGAACTCTTATAACTCAATAAGAAGACAACTTAAAAATGGGCAAAAGATATAAATAGATATTTCTCCAAGGAAGATATAAGAGTAGCAACAAGTACATGAAAAGATGTTCAACAGCATCAGTCATTCAGGAAACAAAAAAACAAAATACTATGCAATACCAAGGAGCTCTGGTAGCATAGTGCCTAAGGCACTTGACTGCTCACCAGAAGGCTGGCGGTTCAAACCC